CCTTCTTTTTCACTGTGCACAGAGTTTTCTGACTATATGCAGATACACCTAGACTTTTCAGTGAATAATACAGGAAACCCAATGGAGCCATTGAGGTTTGTTGTGAATTTCATTGTTGAGGTCTTTGAACACAGTTTAAATTTCTTGGTCAGTTAACAAGGTTTACCTGACCCCAGCTCCTTTTGGAAAATCATGCCTTCTTCTCATACATGTTCCTTATTTCACAGTTCACTTTACCTAAATGAGAGGCTGACACCAATTATTTGAGAATTGGTGGATGCATGTGTTAGAATTCTGCTCCTATGTGTACAGTCCCTGAAAAGAATAAGTAGATTTTGAAAAACTTTTGGTTCATTGAGAAAAATGTAGTAAGTAAAAAGCATGTGGACAAGGAAAATTGATCTACCAAATAGACCAATAGTTAAGACTCTTAAAAGTGTGGGCTTGTCTGTCATTGACATCATCGCTGCATTTGAAATGAGCCACTGGCAGTTCCAATCACCCAGAACTGGGTCCTCTTTCTCTTTCTGACATTTAGGTAATTTGTTATTGGAGAATTCCTATCAGTGATCCATTATCCTTGGTCTATATAGTTTCCTTAATTTTATTTCCACTGAAACATCAATATTTATATCTACCTTGTTTAGTAAAATATAAATAGCAAACACTTGTGTGATAAATCAGCAGTTCTTACAATAGCATACCTAATTTACTGGGTTGACAATTGAGAGATCACTAGACAGTCACTCCTGTGATTACTAATCTGTTGGAGAGTATTACTAATGATATCATACACGGCTCTTACAGATCCCTATGCAGAATTGTTTCGGTGGTTTTCACAGAATCACCCTTCATTAAGCAAAAAGAAACTGTACAATATTTGGATGATTCAAAATGGAGTTTCCTCTTCAAAATTCAGCTTCAACAAAAGAGGATAGCTTTCACTGGTCCATTTAGTCTCGATGGGGCTTTTATTCTAACGTCATAAATTTCTTAACATTTTGCTTTATTTTTATAGAGTTACTCTTAATTGTAGCAGTTCTTATCATTCTATGTATAGACAAGACTAAGAATGGAAAAATATCCCAGAGAGCTCACATCATCAAAGAAAATTCTAATGAAATAATATTTTTTTGTACAGGTCATTAGAGAAGTGAAACAAATGTCCTTTTATTAAGCTATTACCTCACCTCGTTGTTGAAAACATGAAACTGCTGAGAGTTACATTATATCATTTTTATAAAATATTAGTTGTTGAAGAGCTAGTCTCTAGCAGCATTCCACGTTATTTTTTCCTATTCATTCAAATCCAAAATATTGCTCATCTAAACTTTCTCGGTTAATCACTGTTACAGTAAGTCTGAGACTGCAAGACGCCCAGTAATTCATAACTGGCTTGGGGCTTGTTCACCTTCAGGTCAATTATTCAGTTCCTGTGCGGGTGAACTGTAACGAGAAATCATCCTGTGCTATAATTGCGTAGAATTAATAAAAAGGAAAGCAAGAGATTTTACTTTAGGAATCTAGACTGAAAAGCCACCAGATTTCTGGTACTTTCCTTCCCTTCCTCCTCCTTTGCTAGTCCCCCTCCCATTTTAGTAGGGAAAGAAGTTGCTGGTGAGGTTAAGTTGAAGGTTTTCCACCCTGAGAAGTAACCGTGATGAGCACAGCGGGGGCACACAACGCTCTGGGAGCAGAGAGGAGGGGACTGAGATCTGCCTTTGCAGTGGCTAAGGAAGGTCCCACGGACGACGTGTCCCTTGGCCTCTTGGGCTGACTCCTAAAGAGCAAGAAGGAGTTTCTGAGCACAGCTAAGGAGTGGGACTGGGGAGGGGGGAGATTGCATTGGAGGAAGGAGTGTGCAGCAAGTCCGTGAGAAATTAAAGACCATAGGTTTTCGAAGAAATCTAGTATGCTGATTGGGCTGGAGTGCCAGTTGGAAAGGAGGTTGTCTGAGAACTGTGGCCAAACATGTAGGCAGGAGCCAGATGATGAAGGGTGCTCCATGCTCTGCTAAGGAAGGTGGCAGTTACCCTCTAGGCAAGAAGAGATTCTGAACATTCTGAACTAGGGGACGGCACTGGAGGGTTTGCATTTTTGGAAAGAACACGTTGGCACCTGTTAGGTGGAGACTGGATTAGAGGGAGGAGGCGAGACTGGAGATAGGTAAAACCATCAGGAGTAAGAGTTGTATCAGGAAAGAGATAAGAGAGCCAATAGGGAGGGACGACATTAAGGTTTCTGGCTTGGGTAAGGGGTTACATTCACTGATAAAGGGTATATAGGAGCAATGGAGGGGAGAGGAGGGTTGGAGCAATAATAAGTTCATTTATTATCAACATGTCCAGTAGGTCCGATAGATATGCAATAGATGGTTCTAAAGAACAGAGGTCAATCCTTGAGAGAGACTGGGAGATCATCAGTATAAAGTGGTAGCTGAACCATTTCTGAGTTTCTTTCCAGCCCTTAATCCCTCTGCTTCAATGAATAACATAATCTTATTGACAAACGCCCATTTCAGGAAGTCTGAAATTAGCAGTGGCCTGTGTTAAGTGATTTGGTGACATCAGGCAGCTCCTCCTCGCAGTTATGATCAGTAAATAAGTTGTAATCCGAGCCTCGTGCTGACAAATTGAATATCTGTCAGAACAGATTTATCGAGTGTCGTCTTTATGTTAGGTGCTGCAAGGGAGATTCATTTTTTTTGGATGTGAAATAGTTCCATTGATTTTTAATTTAAGGTAGGGAGGTAAGAGAGGCAAAAAGGAAGGATGGAAGTAGAGGAATTTCTCACTAAGGTCAGGAAATGGGGTTTAGTAGGAAGGCAGTGAATTCAGCTTTAGGCTTCCTAAGTTTGAGATTATGGCAGAAGGTCTAATGGAAATGATTAAGAATAAGAAATGCACTTGGGAGGAGGATCCTGGCTGGAAAGGAGGATTTGGGATTTATCCCACGGACCATGGTAGTTGAAGTTAGGAGAGGCTGGGAAGGATGGAGAGGGGAGGGCTGAGTTTGCCGTAGATCCCAGGGAGGGCCGGAGCTTGGCAAACACCCACCTTCAGGCTGCGAAAGGGCGAGGGCAAGAGTGGCTAGAGGTAGAACGAGAAGAGAATTCTGTCACAGAACACGAGAAGAGGGCAAGGAGTGGGTGTTCACCAGACTTAGAGGGCAAGGGTGACTGACCGGAAGATGATCGTTAGATTTAACGATGAGTCGGTCGTTGGTGCCTTTTCTCAGAGGAATTTCAGTAGGATAAAGAGTTAGGAAGTGAGATTGTAGGTCATTAAGAAGGAGGAGGAAGATGAATAGTGGTAGTAGTAATAATAATAATTGATACGCAGTGTCTCGGATGCTTCCTGCATTACATGCCAGGAAGTCTTCTGAGCCCTTTGTATATGTTATTTTGCTTAATCCTCACAGTAGTTGTAGGGACTTAGCAATATTAAGAATATTATTATTCATTGTTGCTATTATTTTCCTATTACAGATAAGCTGTATTAGGAAATAAAGGCAAGGATGCAGATAATTCTTTTGAGGCATTTTGCGGGATAGAAGGAGTGGGAAAGCACAGTAGATGACAACATGATCAAGTGAAAGCTTTTTCAGGCTATTTTAATGTTTTCGAGGGCAGTGAGTGGGGGAGCCAGGGGAGGAATAATTAAAGATGCTGGAAAAGGGTCAGCAGGTGGGACTACGGGGCAAAGAGATGGGTTGGGATGGGAGAAGGGACCCAACCTTGAAAGGAGAAGGGACATGGTTTTCTTTGAGTTGAGAAAATTAAGGAAACTTTGAAGTAGGTGATTCAAAAGTGAGACAGTCTCTGAACTTATGCTTAATAACATCAGCGTTGGAGAATTAGGAAGGGACGTGAAACAGCCGCTGGAAATCATTGACTGTATCTTCTTTTTCTCCTAGAATATTTCTTCAACTCAGGTTTAAAAAGTTTAAAAGAAAAAATGCCCAATTTTATTAATATGAACTCCCCCCAAACTAAATTCTGTCAAGTGAAATTTACCTTGTAATTTTCTTTATCATTTGCTACCCCATTTGATTATTTGAACATAAAAGTAAAATCTTTCATATATGTGTGTGTGTGTATATATTTGAATGCTGTAATTACATTTTCTTACTTGTTTTTCTAAAAACTTGTACTTTGGGACAGTTGTTAAGTCCAGAGGCAGAAAGAGCAGAGAGCCTGGCAGCTGGTAGGCTGCAGTGTGCCTGTGAACAAGGGTAATGGAAGAAAAGAATGCCAACAAAAATTAGTAACTGGAAGGATAAAAAAGAATAATTCTACCTAAAAGTCTATTGTAACTTTACAACTGAGGCATCATGTTTATGACAGCATTTTTTATTAATGGGAAAAAAGGCAAAAGGTCACTGTCATGAGGTTTGCAGAGAACTAAATGAATTCCCAAATCGGCTAATCAGTTGGAGCAGCTTGGACATTTAGGACCTTGAAGGATTATAACTTGGTGACACAAAATCTTTTCTTGTCATTAACTGGGACCAGCTGGCTACCCCACGGGATTCACCAGATTCTCTCTTGACTTCACGAGAATGCCATGTAGATTTGATCAAGGTTATCTACAGGGTTGAGGAAACCGTTGCTTCTTTCTGCCCACAACTGTGCAGATACAACTATTATTAGCATTTACTGCAACCAAACCAGGTGGCGGTATTTTCGCATATTTCCCCTATTAGAATATAACGCTCCTTGGGAATAGTTGAAAACATCTAGGAAATACTGGCTGTGGCAACTGCAATGTCATTTTAGTTTGAAAACACTTCCTGAGGAAAAGTAAATGTTTTTCTCAACACTTTGACTGTTAAACCATTTTCATCAAAACATTTTATTCATATGTAAAATGTTTTTAAAGTTCTCGCTGTGTAAACATGATCATCTCATACTAATCGGGTGTGTTGAGTGCCTCTGTTTATCCATTAATATCTGGTGTGTGTCATTGGTTTGTGTCTGATGTTCCATGTCTTTTTTTCAGATATTGATGAATGTGTAAACAACACTGTTTGTGACAGTCACGGGTTTTGTGACAATACAGCTGGCTCCTTCCGCTGCCTCTGTTATCAGGGCTTTCAAGCCCCACAGGATGGGCAAGGGTGTGTGGGTGAGTTTTTAGATTTTTTTCCCAACGTGTTTCAATAAAGAAATCAAAGTTATCAACAGCAGGAGCTTTTAAACAGGTAATTTGGGCAGAATTTCATGACAATTTGATTTTATCATACAATTTGAGGATATGCAAAAATATCCTATGGCTTCTGAAAGGGGATGTTAAGAAATATAGAAGTATGACTTTAAATTTAAATGAATGTTTGTAAGAACATCTGTTTAAACTCTTAGCTGAGTGTGCAGAACTCTGGAGTCCCTCCTGCACAGGAAGTAGAGTCTGGTGTGTGGTATAGCTTGTCTGTCTTCAAAATGCACCTTCTTAGGCAGTGCATTTAAGGAAAGTGTTGGCAAGAGCTTCAGTTTCCAGGAATGACGCCCGTAAAATGATGCTTTGGGTTGTGCAACTGTATTTCCTCAGTCTGTTCTGTCTGGGATTGACGGGGCTGGAAGGAATCTTGAATTATCATCAGATGTCCTAGAATATGGTCAAACGCATGCTCGTATATAGCAGGTGACATTTTGTATTTCATGCTCTGATCAGCTGTGATTTCTTCAAATCAATTCATTATGAAACACATTTGCAATTAGAGCAACTAAGTGGGAAAGAGAAGAAAGGTTATCAAATTCAAAACTTCACAGATAACAAGGCTTTTTCTTTATTCTTCTTCATTAGAGAAAAATAGCCATGTTCACTACATGACAGATGGCACTTGAGGAGGAGCCAGTAACTTTTTGGTTTGAGAATTTGCAATTAAAACTTCATTTACTATCCAGATTAAACTGGGAAAACAAAATCTATTCAGAGGTTTAATGATAATATCACTGGAAAAGTAATTGCTTTTACAGAATTAATTAGGAAATTCAGTTAATCCCCAGTAACAAAATTTTTTTTACAAAGCAGTGATGGTGTTTTGAGCGTAAGTATTGGCTAGTCAAAAACATAATTATTCAAGAAGTATTCACAAGAAGACATAGCTATTTAATAATACAGCTAAGACTATCCTAATCTCCAGTTCCCTTCCCACCAAAATACAAGTGATAAAAACTGTCTGATGCTTGCAAAATATTTTGACTATTTTGACTAAATGGATCGTGTGACTTGGCCCCTGCTTATCTTCTTAGCGTCACCACTTCCTCACCTTTTACACTCCAGCAACATCACACCGCTTGGGGTCACTCATGTCATGATGCAATTATTTGGCTGTCATTTGCTCCTTCTGCTGGGAATGTGCTCCTGACCTCTCCTTCCTGAGCCTGGATTCTTGCCACGCATTCTTGAAGACTGAGGTTAGGTGTCATCTCCTTCCAGACACCGTCCCTGCTCCTTCTGTCACTCTCAATCTGAGCTGCGACCCCACTGCTTGCAGAATGCCTTCAGCAAGTTCTAGCATAATACTTACAATCTTTTGGGGAATATTTTATCGTGTGTATATCACCTGCAGCCCCCTTCTCCACGACTATAACCTCCATGTGTTTGAAAACTCTCTTCTCCCTGGGTGTGGGACATGATGTTTGGCCTATTGCACGTGCTCAGCAAATTTTGTTTAACTATTAACTGTTCAAGTATCAGATGTTGAACCATTGACTCTGCATAACTCCTGAGCCCTCTGCTTGATGTTGATTTCCAACCAGCCAGATAAGTGTGCCAAACCCATGTTGACATTTCGGTTTGACACACAAAACACCACTCTCAGTGAAGGAATATTTGTTATCATTTTGGTGAACTCAACAAATGTAATTTTATTTGTCTTTTTATTCATTCTTTTGAAAATATTTAATAAGCACCTATTCTGTGCCCTTCACCACACTGGGTATTGTGTAGAAACTCAGAGATGAGTCACACCCCACCCCCACCATTATCATTCCCTAACTCACCCCTGCACTTAAGGTCCACTGTGCCACGCTTTCACAGAACTTTGTACTTTTCTTTCCTAGCACTCACTGAAGCCTTAAGATTATCTTTTACTTTCCCTGACTTGACTGTAAACTCCATGAAGGCAGGAGTTGGTCCTGCCTGACTCACCATTGTTTCCTCAATGTATGGGCCATATGGCCCCTAGAAGTAAGCTAGAAAATATTTCTTGATTGAGTGAATTCAGTCTAGTGGGAGTGATTTCAATGGCCATGTAAGTAATACAAGTTGGAAAGTAGAACGTTTCATTGGACATTTACCTAAAGTTGATAAATGTGAACTGGCAAGTTTAAGTTCTTCTGGTCTAAATTATGACTATTTAGGTTGATTAAATATTCCAACTCTGCTCTACTTTATGTTACAGTATCTTTGCACAAGTGAAACCCAGCTCTCATTGGGTTTATGTCTGTTTATATACAAAATGAAATGAAAAACTGAGGTTATTATCCAAATAAGTCCAGATATGTAATCTTTTCGTCCAATTAACTGGGCATAGCAGGTGAAAATTGGATTTTTTTTCTGGAATGATTTGCATAATTGCTCAAGTTTTTAACTTTGTATAAACCATCTCAGAGCGTGCTCATGAAAGAGCTGATGTTTGCACATGTTTAATGCATAAGATACATTAGCATTTCAGGTTTCAAGTCAGGTACTTTGCTGAACTGGGTACTTGCTAATAAAATTTCTCTTAGGAGGAAAGAAGGTAAAAAGTACTATTGGGCAAGGTCAAACATAAAATTAGCCTTTCTTTGGTTTGTATACTTGCATAATGTTGAATGAAAAATACTCATCAGTGAGATTCCCTGACTGTGTTTTAATTATGCATATTTAAGTACAGAAGGAAAATAGTTAGCAAAATAGTATTACACTGTAGAACATCAACAGAATTTGAAAAGGCATAGTGAAATTAGTAATTAGTTATTGGACTACTTTGTTTCACATGGATGATTGACATAGCTCGATGAATGATTTATGGGGGTTTTTCCTTCATTTCTCAAAGGGCTATGCAACCTGGATTCTATTGTTAATTTGTGGACATTTTGGCTGCTAGAGAACTGTATTTTCAGAAATTTAAGTAAATGTTTTAAAATTTTTAAATGAACTTAATTCTATAGTTGCTGAAGTGCCAGTATCTTAATTTCCCTTGAATTAAGAACTGTGAGTAGAGTGTTGGGTCATTTAAGACTTTGTTATGTGGAAAAGTTGGGGAAGACAAAACTAGACAGTCAACCAGTACTTACTGTGCTTGCAATGCAATTCCAGGGTGTTCCTTAAAACTGGAAGTGGAATTTAGAACCTTTGCCTTGTGTTTTCATGGTCCCTTCATGCAGACCAAACCATCCACCGCTACCTTTAGGAGCCCCTTCCTTAAAAGAGCAGAAGGGGTTATATTGCTCCCTGGGGATCACCTTGCTTCCAGCAGACACTATGAGCCCTGGCACAGCTGGTAAAATAAAGAGCTGTCTTGAAGGAGCCGCACCTCTCACTCGATCTGTGCTCCCTTTTCCAGATGTGAACGAATGTGAACTGCTCAGTGGGGTGTGTGGTGAAGCCTTCTGTGAGAATGTGGAAGGGTCCTTCCTGTGCGTGTGCACTGACGAAAACCAGGAGTACAGCCCCATGACTGGGCAGTGCCGCTCCCGGGCCTCTGGAGGTAAGTCCCAGTGGCACTGTGCAAGGGACTAAGGGCTCCCCTCAGGGACCTGGACCTACACAGGTTTGGGCAAAACACTCTGGGAGGGAGGTAAGAAGTAGCCAAATGTCCTGGTACAATACTGTCTCTGGAAGCTTCCATGCCCTTTCATGCCTGCCCTATCAGTGGAATTAGGATATGGGTGATGACTGTTTGGGCTAGATGGCCTCTAATGTGCTTTCCAATCCAGAGACGCCTTGAGGAGGGTAAAGGATCCAATGATGAGAACATTTGCTGAGGATTGCTCAAAACTTAGAGAGCTATCAACTCAGGATTTAATATGGCAGAGTCTCATTAAGTTGCATAATCCTCCTTTCTTGGCCCTTGGAGAGATGTATTTTGACACTTCTCTAAATTAAAAGCAACATATAGGCCTCTTAGGATCTACAAAGACTTCCACTTGGAATTCTTAAGGTGTTTTTCCAGAATTTGGCCTGGAAAGTGGCTATGTTTGCATTCGTTTAAAATTTGATTTAGGCTGTGTCGTCACTGCACGAATTGAAATAGAGAGCTGACTGTTTTCCAGATGAATTAATCAACTTCCAGATCACCCTTTTAGTTTGTGCCATGTAGTTCTAGCTTGGTTGTATTTTAGGGAAAGCAAAAGCCCAAGTGATCCGTTGGGAGCCAAGTAAAATGAAACATTGACCTTTTTTTTCTTTCTCAGTCAACTTTATCCATGCTTCTATAACAGCTTTCACTGCTCCTCTAGAGGGTACACTTATTCTGTGTAAAATGGCTATCTTTGCAAGTAATAAGGAATAAAATATAAAAATAGTTTCATCTACACTTTTTTCTCAATTATTAAATATAGAAAGGCAAAGGGTGCAGAATTAAATGAACAGGCAATAATTCAAAAGCTTTGGGAAGGGGAGGAGAGAGGTTATCACGGATGGGAGGGTTGCTGTTCATTCAAGCGGCCACCACTGTGATACATACACCATAAAGAAGGGACTCGTAATCTTAGCAAAAAACAAAGAAACAACCTGATTGGCCAATAACAGAATTGGTTAAGTAACTATCTTTTTCTCATTTTTTCTTGGTTCCACAGGGTAGCACCTCACCCATAGTGTTATTTGGAATGAATTAATTCACATGTCATAGTATTGGATAGTCATTAAATGGTCTGTTTGAAGATTAGATAGTCATGATAAAGATAAATGCACATGATACAATGTTAACTGAAAACAACCCCAATATATTCCAATGATCACCCTCTGTAGAGGGAAGGAAGGTGAGAATGTATTAAAAGATAATTGTTGGACTTAATGGAAATTTTAGTTTTTTCCTTTATTTTCAAAACTTTCTATAAAACTTTAGGTAGGAAGACCAGGGTTCTGGTCCACTAACCACTTTCTAGTTGGCTAAGCTTGGGCACGTCAATATCTATGAGTTTTTGTTTCTCACCTGTAAAATGGAGAGAAAAGTTTAATTTATCTCAGAGTTCTGTAAATTTTAAATGAAATCATATTAATATATGTAAAAGTCATTTATTAAAGGCAAAACACAGCGTGAAATATTAAAATAGTATCCGAAACACTTAAGGGATATACATTTCTTA